GCAAGCAATTAAGAGCATGGTCAATACGGTGCACACCAGGTGGAGCAGGCGGCAAGGCATCGATCAAGGCAGGATCAAGAGCACGACAGTACATAAAGTGATCACGAGAGATGTAGACACCTGCAGGTGACATACAGGGACACTCCTCACGCATGTTAGTAAAGCGGCCAAGACGCCAGCGGACCAAACGACTACGGGCAATACGACCAAGAGGCAGATAGAGTATGGGATCAGGCCTTGTGGTATCAGGACGACAAGCACGAAGCAAAGTATGACGACCAGTGACAGTAGCAGCAGAGAGTTGGAGATCAACCTGATCTTGCCAATAAGCAGCAAAGGTAGTACGCAAGCCAGCAGAAGAAGGAACAGGGTCAGGCAGCGACTGATACAGAGGGTTTTCACATATAAAACGATCCAACCTTGTATAGTGCAAATGGGCACGAAGCAGAACCAGCAGACAATCGTCAGGCAGAGTATCAGCACGCAGAGCAAAACGGGTAGCCAGGACATTGTAGCGATGTTTGATACTGGGAAGACAGGTAATGTGCTTGGTGACATTGACCCAAGTACTACCCACAAACATGCCAACAAGTCGGTTTTGCAGAGTATCCAGAGCAGTAAAATCACGAGCAGAGAGATGCGAGATGGCTAGACCGTATTCAAGCTTAGGACGAATAAATGTCCTGTACAAGCGAGAGGAGAGCAGCAAAGAGAAACCATTGCGGTTGACACCAACAGAGTTTAACAGAGCCATGGTCTTGACAGCACCAGCAGAACGCAGAGACAGAATACCAGGAGCATGCAGGCCTTTGTATCGGAATGGCATACCAAGGTATGTAAATTCGTCAACGACAGGCAGGGCTTCATTGTATAGTACAAGAGGAGAACCAGCAAGAGCAGCAGCAGTACCAAGCACAGCGCATTTGGAAGGCTTCCACCTATATCCAAGAGAGACAGAATGACCAGCAGCAAGATCCAACATACGCTGAACCTCAGACTTTGAACCAAAGACAGCCACATCATCAGCGAACAGGAGACTATTGATAGCAATAGGAGCATCAGCACCAGGCACAGGCAGCATAGTAGCACCAGTAGCACCAGAACGCAAAAGACTTGGTAAAGAGTTGATATACAACGAGTACAAGTGAGGACTGAGCACTGAGCCTTGCAGAACACCAGTGACAGGAGAGAAGGCAGTCGAGTTGTGATTAGCAATCAAGACAGAGACAGACACATCATCAAACATGTTGATCAACAGACCCAGAACAGCACGAGGAAGACTAGAACCAGCCAAAGCAGACCAGATAACACGACGATCGACTGTGTCATATGCTGACTTGATATCCAAGAAAGCGACAACAGGACGACGACGGTGCGCAACAAAGTAATCATGCATCAAGTCATGCAAGCAGAGGGCTTGATCCAGAGGACTACGTTGAGGGCGGAAACCACCTTGGGCAATGTCAAGGGCAGGAGAATGGGCATCCAGCTCAGGCATGAGAGAGAACTCAAACAGTTTGCGCACAACAGAAGTCAGAGAAATAGGCCTATAGTTGGCGGGATCAGAAGCATCACCTTTCTTGAAGATGGGGAAGACTTGGGCATGACGCCAGAGAGCAGGAGTATACGACCATTGGTAACACAGAGTGAACAACAGAGATAACACCGGAGCAATCTCAGAGACCAAGGACTTGAGCATCTCAGCTTTAATATGATCTGGACCAGGAGCTTTATGTGTTGGGAGCCGCTGAATGTGAGATACAAGAGTATCAACATCGAACAGTGACAAATCCACAGGCACACAAAAAGGCAGAACAGAGTCAAAAGTGGGGGGAGCAGCAGGACGAGTAGCAGTGGCAAGCAGAGAGCCATCATACACCGAAGCGAGATGAGAACCCATAGCAGTGACAGAAGCAGCAGGACCGTCGGGATGACTGTAGGTAGCAGAAGACTCTTTGTTACGCTTGATGCGCTTGATAGCAGCAGTAGCTTTTGAGAAATCCTTTTCTAGAATACCACAGAACTGTTTCCAGGACCTTCGCTTTGCAGCTTGCACCAGGGAGCGAAACTTGCGATGCGCAATTTTGTATAAGGACCATTTTTCAACTTTGACAATACCAAAGGCATGCCTCCATTGACTATAAGAGTGATCACGTACAGTAGCAGCATCCTGAATTTCTTGCGTCCAGTACTTCTTCCAATGGCCAGGACGACCAGATTTCACACCAATAGAACTATCCAGAGATTCATACAAACATTGATTCAAAGAATCGTTGAGTGCATCAATATCTGGACGAACACCAGGAGGAGCAGACACCAAACCAGAAAGAGTACCAACCAGAGGAGCAACAGAAGATCGAAAGGATTCACGGAGTAAGCCCAAAGGCTTCTCTTTCGTCAATTTCGAGAGCTTCCATTGACGCCGAGGAGCCAGAACAGAATCACCAGGAGCCACAGTGTCATCGAGAGGTGGCACATACCCGAAAGTAAGTGACATCAATCGATGGTCAGAACCAAGAGACAGATCAGACTCAACCACCAGTTGAGGATTCACCAAAGCAACATCACCAATATTTGTCAAAAACAAATCAATGATACTACTCAATTCTTGTTGCTGCCGAAAAGAAGAGTACGTCGTAACACCAAAAGCCAAAGACGCATTGAGTACAGACAAGCAGTGTTCATCAAACCAAGGTTTGAGAGCATTACCACGAGCATTAGAGATAGCATCACCAGTGAGAGAACCCAACCGAGCATTGAAATCGCCACATAGAATAGTATCCCTAGTCATAGGTAATGAACTAAGGGCCGAGAGCACCTTATCAGATAATAAGGGTGGAGGTAAGTATACACAATGGACCGTAAGGGAGCCAACCTTAAGGGACAAAGTATGCGGATTATAGGATGGGAGTTGATAGACAGAGTAAGGACAGGAAGGAGAGACAAAAGCAGTAATACCACCAGAACCACGGTTGAAGGCACCAGGTACTTTCGAACCGTAAAGATGGTATTGGGACCAATCTGTAGGAAAAGAGCCAGAAGTTAGCCAGGTTTCAGTAACCAGCAAGACATGAGTATCCAGGACATGAGAGAGAACATCGTGAATCACTGATTGACGAAGACCATTGGCATTCCAAAGAGAGAGAGAGACAAATAAGGAGTGGACAGGGTTATCATTTTGGGTATACAGTATCGAGGACTCAGTGGTGGAACACATTATTGTTCCATAGCAGAATCTTCATTGGCAGAGTCAGCATTAATCTTGCGACGGAACAAGAAGTTAGCCCTCTTGGGTTCCTTCTTTGCAAAGCGTTGAATGGCATCACCAACAGAAACAAAAAGGTCTTCGTCACAAATCCAGCCTTGCTCAACAAAGTACTTACCAACACCACTGACATTCAGAGGACGTAGGAAAGCTAAGGTTTGCAGACACCGAGCAGCAGTAAATTCCATGATCAAAGCAGTACGTTGATCCAGAGTCAAAGAGTCATACTTAGGATCAGCTATGTTAGCAGGGTCCAAAGGGTCAAAGTCGAAGAAGAATTCAGCCTCACAAGCCTCCAAAAGTGCAGTAAAATCCTGAACATATTGCACATGCACCAGGATGCCAATAACATCGGATGCTGGGAAACAGATGTCAAGCACACGACCCAAATCAACGCCGGCTTTGCGCAAGAGAGAGCGAACTTCAGAGCGTGCAATCTTCTTAGATCTACCAATATAAACATATTGGTAACCTTGAGGACCTTTACGAGCAGCAGTTGTAAAGGCGCGACCAATAGCAAGACGCTTCTTAGCTTGCTTAGCTTCAGTAGCAGGATCAGGAAGAGTAGCAGCAGCCTTTGCGACATTTGCATAGCTAGGTGATTTAGTAGCCTTAGTATTCATAGAGCCAGTAGTAGTTTTGAGGGTTGACCCCTCTACCGCCGTGGGCCGACTCGAACCAGAGGGGACCACGTGACCGGAGACTGCACCCTGCAATTTTTGAATTGCAAGGTCCTTGTCCTGTAAAAGTTTTTTCAACTCTGAATTCTCTTTTTCCAGAGTATCTAAACGAGCAAGAAGACCATCATGTTCGTTGACGCGAGCAGTAACCGAGGTAAGTTGTTCTTGGAGCTGATTAAGAATCATTTGAAGCTGATTCATATCCATACCCTGTAGATTGGTGGCCATGACGGAGAATATTTTTTTATAAATTTGAAAATTTTTAAAAAAATATCAAGGAGATGTTCGACAAATTTGAAACTATAACACAATAAACTGTTACCAAAGGCAAGCAAAGTTGTGTAATTTCGAGTTGTTGGAGTTGGTAGTTATCGAGGAAATACGTTTTTTCTAGTCTGGAACAACTTTTTTCCGAAAACGGTGGCAAAAAGTGTTGAAAAACGGAAAGAGATGCCTTCTTGGCTCAGTTGGCAGAGCGTCTGCCTAGTAAGCAGAAGGTCAACAGTTCGATTCTGTTAGCAGGCATTTCATTTTTGCAAATATTTGTTTTACGTGAGACGTTTGAATTGATTTTGCCTCTTCATCTAAAATTTTGTACCTTGCAAACTATCGTTTGCTACAGGGATAACAAAACCACAAGATAAAGCTTTTTTCTTGAGAATTGATATCCTAATATGGCGCTATATAACATTTTGAATGTCATGTAGGTTTGGTCATTCCATTTTACCAAGATGTTCTCTCTTGAAGTGTAACATGAACATTTTCAGAGCTGCCTAATTCTCCCTTCATAATGTTGATAGACAGCAACGCAAAAGGCGCATGACATACTGTTACAAGAGGGAGAGTTCCAGGTCAATCTCAATTGAGAAGATAAAAGGCACATCCAAAAGAAAGGCCATCATGTTTGATGTTCCTTTGGTTCGACTGACAACAGCATGAACGATCGTGACTCGTCGGAAGCTCATGTCAGTCAAAGTTCTGAAAGGCTTTTTCGTGTTTTTTTATTTACCTGTTTCTCCTGTTTAATTCGATAATATACAGTACCCTCAAAAACAATGAACACGCTCAGTGAACGACTTCGACAGATCCGAGTTAAATCAGATTTGATGCTAGCATCAAGTGAGCGAAATCAAGTACCCATCATCAACAGAACATGGGACCAGTTAGAACGAGAGATGAAATCCATGGATGAAAGAATTCCACATTCACAAGAACTCCATGCTAAGGCGTATGTATGAATACTCGCTTTTGATATGAATGTATAGGCTAATGAGTCTATACGCACATGCTTAGACATTATTTTCTGGCAAGCAATGGTATTGACACTGAGTACGTAACAGCACCTATCGACACAAGCAATACCTTTACTCGAATTGAGGTTGAAGATGATACAAATATCGAGGTAAACAGCCATGACAAGGAACCATCATGGGCAGCAATATAACATTTGCGCTGCAGGAATTTCTGAATGAAGAACACGAGAAGACATTGATTAGAATCATAGAAGCCAATCGACAAGAAGTAAATGCAAATATAAACCGCTCATCATGACATGCACACTGATCTCGTTTTGTATAGACAACCAACGACTTCCAATCATCCTACAATCAACAATTTGAAGATATCTTTCGCAGCATCGAAGCCGAACGAAAAGAGGAAGCGGAAAACGTTGTTGATTTTCAAGAATTCGCCAAATATGACAGCACTTCTGGCATCAATGTAAGCAGCTCTTGGATGGCCATGTGCAATGTGGAAGCTAAACATGTGCGTTTGTAGAGAATCAACGAATACGCTGGTGTTATCACCAACTTGAACACCAATCGCTCTCAAGATTTGGACTACGATTTGATCAAGGGCCTATCCAACATTCGCAACATGTCTGAACTAAAAAAGGTAAGCAAGCACAGTGACATGGGCCATGCTGAACAATCATCTAAAGCACATTGTCTAGGCTCAAGATTGCACTTTGGAAACCTGGCACATTATGCAACATTTAGTGGATCAATCAGACGTCCCTGGCAGAAAAGAAGGCCGATTCATCAAAACATACGCCTCAGAGCCATACCAAAGCTTTGCAGCTGTCAAAACCCGTCGTGCACTGATATCTGCCTCAACATCATGGTTGGAGCAACAATCTCATCAATTCATCAATGAAACCTTGAATCGACATGCACAGATCATCAAAATTGGAGGCAACCCCTTATTCAACTATCGCTTGCGTGCCTTCATGGACCTCACCTTCAAGACAAGTTCTGGATGGTCAGACGATAGACTGGAGATTGTGGACAATTTACCCATTTGGGCGTATGTATATTACTTGATCCGCTGTGGCCACTTGGATATGGCTGCCGACTTTGTGGATACGCATCGTGAAATGTTTGCAACGGAACGCAAGTTTGTATCCTATCTCGAGCAATATGTCAATGCAGAGTATCACACCGTGTCTCCATCTACACAAAAAGCGATTCTTGCCGACTACAACAAATTTGAATATGGCGAACATGTGGTGGACCCTTACAAGCTGATTCTGTATAAAATCATGGGACGATGCGAATTACATAAAAAGAGCCAGCCTGACATCATTCGCACTGTAGAAGATTTTATTTGGCTTCAGGTAACTTATGGAGATGTCATAGCATTGACAAAAGTACTGATACAAGGACCAACTTGTGTGTAGCTGACCATGTTGAGAGAGGTGGTTGTGGATGAAGAGACCAATGCATTAGAACGCTATAGACTGGCTGATGTTCAGAAGCATGTGGCATCTTACGGTAATAGCTATTTTGACCCAGACAACACCAACCCATGGATCTACTTTCGTATCTTGATCTTGACATTGCAATTTGAGAAGGCTATTGGCTTCTTACACAAGGATAAAAAGTACAGACTGGAAACAGTGCACTTTGCAGCAGCTCTAGCCTACCATGGATTACTCAGGATTCTGCCAGCAAGCCGAAAAGACACCAAGATCATGTGTGAGTAAAACTATGGATTTGTGAGAGGATCATAAACTAATGGAGCTTGTCTTTGCAGTGATTACCGAGGATGAGGAGAACCAAGTCTTGTACTTGAACTTTCAACACCTTCTCTATCATTATATCCAAGTATTCTTTCCTGACTCGCGCCAAAATGCAGTGCAATACCTGTATCTTTTGAGCATCTATTCTTCAGAAAACGGATATCCTGATCAATCCATGGTTCACCTTGCTAGATCGTATGTGTGCAAGTACGTGATCGACTCCAACGACGCCAAGGCGCTCTTGGGAACTTTGAATGATGAACAACATGTAAGTTGATGTATACAATGAATGACATTTTGCTGACATTGCTGTTGCAGCCTGGATTGATCGAACGTCAAAAGAGCCTGTTATATATCAGATCAAGAGAGCACTTCATTGAAGCAATTCTTTATCCCACTGCTGAGCAATGCATACAAAGAGGACGCTGCTCTGATGCCGTTCATATCTACAGCGTGGCACATGTACGTATGCAATGACAGCCTTGATATCTTGGTTATTGACAATGTGTCTAGGATTACAACAAAATGGTGGATGTCTTGGTCAAGGAACTCACTGACGCGCTGCAACAATCTCACGCCGACAGAATCGTTGATCTTACGCTTTCTGATGAGCCCAACACAGCCATCATTCAATTCACCAAGGAAGCCATGGACTACTATACCAAATTTGAGCCATTCACAAAGGCGGTTACCGCAGAGAGACAAAATACCATCCGCATCCTGATCCATCTCTTGCAGTTCCGTACATTTTATGACCAAAAGGAATTCAACGTGGCAATGCAGCATTTGGAAAGCACAGACATCATTCCTCTCCGATACGACCACCAGTATATTCTTCGGTTGGTAGAGCGTTTTAATTCGCTGGATGACAGTATCAAAAAGAACGTGCCTGAAGTCTTGCTCAACACGATGGACATTTTGTACAAAACCTGGGTATCTCTCCTCAACAGACCGACTGTAAGTAGATGATGCATAGCTCTTTTGGATGGCCTTACTCACTGTGTTGCGATTAGGAGTCGAGCAACCATGTAAAAACAGCCCAAGCAATTCTCATGTTTACTGGCTTATTACAATACAGCATCCCTACAGACATCATTATTCGTTTAAACAAGTAAGATGCACACCAAGCCAAATAACCAACATGTTCTAATTTTTGCTTGACATAGGGCTGTGGTCGCCATGACAAAGGGTAGATGAATCAAAGAATAAAATGTAATTTACATGCAATGTGTCTATCTGTTTATTGTTGCTTTTGTTGGTTTCTCTTTTTCAAAAAGTTACCCAAAGGAGTTGTTTCGAAGTCTGTGGTTCGTAGGAATGCATTGGCTTCTTCTAATCTGTTGGGTGTGTACTCGATGGGTGCACGCTTTTGCTCAATGTAGTTTTTATGTGTTTCCATCTTTTCAATCAAGACACGAATGGACTTGACAAAACGAGTGCCCTTCATTTTGACCAGGTATTCCTTGAGCTGCATCAAACATGTCGTTAGAACACACATCCCAAAAGCACTACATACACGCAGTCTTACCTTATCTACAGCAGGAATAGCCAGCTCAGGGAACGCAATAGACAAACCAAGACAGGCATAAAAGTCCACTAGACAATCATACATCACGTTAAACACAGCATCTTGATAGCCTTTGGATTGCAAATAGCTTTTGGGTGTCTTGAGATGCAGATCCCAATCAAACGCAGGCAAGTCGCTTTGTGCAGGATTGCCCTTGAAGATATCACTGCTCAGGATTTCAAACAAGTAGGATGCTAATGGAATGTAGTAGCCAGTAGAATCAATTAAACCAGTCAGCGTGCGTACAAGGTGGATACGGAGAGGCAGGAATTGGGCTGTGGGATTTAAGCGGATTGTATGGAGACACACTTCCACCAAGGGATGGACAATGGCTTGCATAGGAGAAGACTCGCCCACGGAAGGGTCACAGGTAGCAGCAACCACACTAGCCCAGAAATCAAGACAACTGACAAACTGCCATGTGTAGATTTGTTTGAAGCTCTCCACCGTTTGACTCTTTTTAGCCTTCTTTAAATGATCAGCAAGTTGACGCACATACACACTGGCATGCTCGTAGCTCGCTTTAGAATCCACGGTATAGATATCGCCTGCTTCTTCCAGCATTTGCTGAATGACGGGTAAACTTGTTTGATTGATCTTGGTGGCACGATTAGCGAAAACAAGGTAGATACCCTTCAATACGTTGGGCATGTAGTTTTTGCGGTTGGCATCAATGGCTGTGGTTGCAAAGTGTTTGATGGCCTTGTGACAATCGCTACGGGTTTCAGCAGAGAGTGCGACATCTGACCAACGATCCAACAGCACACGAAGGTATTCTCTCGAGATCTTGGGGAAGCAGCCCATATATAATGTGCAAGGTGCCAATTGCTCCAACACAAATTGAATCACTTCATCTTGTGATAACTCTTTGAGGAATCGAACGCAGTTGTTGAGGTACAGTTGAATGACCTTTTCCAATTTGGGCCAGTTCTTTGTCTTGCCGGGATATCTCTCCTTTTTCAAAAAGTAAATGTGTTGACTCAAGATGGGATAAGCTGCCTTTAATGTGTTTCGCACGAGTTTGATATAGACTAGATACAGACAATGTTAGCTTTGGTTATTTGCGCCAGCAATTACAGCAAAAACCCTCACCTTTACTGCTTTCCACTCGGTAGGTGAATTGCTTGGGTGCATCTTCATCTGATCTGACAATGGATCTAAAAGCCAGAAGCAGCTTTTTCCATGCCAAAGGAGATTTCTTGAGAGCAGCTGCAGACCATTCATTTGTCATGGCCAGTGTCACAAGTTCTGAATCATCGCTGCTATCGTCCATGTCTTGTTCCTCATCCTCGTCTTGCTCAGATTCGTATTCGTCCTCAGTCTCTGACTCCTCCTCGTCCTCGTCCATGTCCTCGTCTTCGTCTAGACCTTGAGCTGTAATGTTTTGATCAGGATCCAAGATGGCTTCAAATGCATCCAAGGCATCCAAATCTTCCTCCTCGTCTTCGTCTAAATCGAGTGTTTCTTCAGCATCAATGACAAAGTTGCAGAAATAGTCTTCGGTGTTGACTTGAGGTGTGCTATAAAAATGTCCATCAGTGATCCTGTTTACAGCAATCATCGAATCCAACATACTCATCCACTGCTGTCTCTACAGTTTTTAAGCCCTCCTCCTCGTCTGTTGTCATGGAAAGTGTCAATAGTGCTATTCAAATAGTGATGCTTTATGGGAGTTCCTTTTCATACCTTTATGGGGATCAATGGGAGCACCACGGCGAAGCTGACGCTTGATAATTTGTCTCTTGAATTTGTTGACTTCCTTTCTACGCTTAACAACTCCCTTGAGTTTGCTCTTTTGAAACTTGATGGTAGACTTCTTCTCTTTGGATCCCATAGTGTAGTGATGTGTTGTAGTGAAGGATGCAATTTGGTTGGCCTTTTTTTTTTTGCCCATCTGCCAAATATCGAAAAAAGTAAACCAGTGACCCTTTTTCCTACATTCCAAGTTAAGCATCCGTGGAGGCTTGTGTTTCAAAAATGCATAAACCAGATTGACATGTGTGTGGCTCGAGTGAAATCAGGGGGGGGGGGGGAGTCTTTATTATGTGTATGTACAATTAAATGGTATGAAGTATTAGTATTGTTACAATTATCGCCATCAGCTTGCTCAAGTCATATGAGCTGTGCTATCAATAGAGGAGAGTCGCTCCGCCTCATATTCCACATTCGCATGTGGGGGTTCCTGGAGGTTGTTGTTGTTTCCGTAATTGGGCACATCCATAGACTGACGTTGTTTAACTGCTCTATTCACAATCGTGTTGAACATGTAATCATTGTACTGAAATACTGTGCCATCGCCTAACCCTCGTTGAATAGGAACTACGTTCAAAAAAAAAAAAAAAAGTAGATTAGACTTGCAGTCAGTGATCCCAGAACACACGCTCTACTTACGGAACCACCCCCATGGATTTCTACCCATAACAAACACCCAGTTTTCCATCTTTTTACGCTCCCATAAGTTATCATCCACAGGCACCGAGACAACCTCGAAATTCTGACCTGACATGTCAAAGTCAACCCTGATCTCATTGGGTCTATCCGCCAAATGCTCAATGGTTGTCTCATTTCGAATAATGTAGTACGCATGAACGCCTGCAAATCCACATACTGTCAATCCAAAAATGAATGCACTGTGTTGAGTTGCGATTAAACATTTAGCTCTTTTTTTTTTCTCGAGATTCAATCATAGACTTACATGACGATGATGACAATCCATTGAGGGTCCAAATCAGCGTTCTACAGTATTGCAATGCATCAGCCAACTCTCCACACCCAGCAACTAATAACCTATACATACCATATCACGGATACCTGTAACCACCAACGGCAACGAACTGACAAACACCCAGAGTCCGTAGCAGCCCGTATACAACACGAACAAAAAGAAAAACTTGTAGTTTCTAAATCCAACACAGCCGTTCACCCAAGGGCAATGACTATGCATATCAAGAAAGCTAAGTCAATTTTGTACACTATCTCTAGAATAGACACACTTACTGATCCATTTTGATTACACATGCGTTACACTCCTTGCAATGATGAGCCCTATCAGGCTTATAACACTCACACATGTGGCAAAATTTAGGCTGACCGTCTTGGCGACTCACTGAGATCACTGGCATGACATCCATTTTATCCTGTGCATCAATGTATCGAATTGTCATGGTGGATTGGTTGAAGAGCTTGGGCGAGTAATAATAGCGAGGCAAATGGATAGGGGCTACTTGACCTTGATTTGATTCTTCACTCAGAAGCGGTGTACGAGCCTGCAGGAGTTACGAGAGGGAAAGGAATGAGCGATGTGCATTGCCATTTCAAAGCAATTCGTTCTATACATACATTGGGAGGTTTTCCAGGCGAGGTGAATAAAACTCGGGTATAACTAATCAGTGCCATGATCCAAAAGAAACTGGCAATGATCATAAATATAACTATATCCATGGTGAGTTGTGCATTGCCACATGTACATGTGCACAGCATCCTTACTGGCTTGTGCTGTATTATCAGGAGGTTTGTTCAGTAACAGGTGTGCTAAACAAAATGTATCAGCGAGTGATAAAGAGATCCTGGATCATTTTGCTTTTCCTTACCACAGATGCGGAAGATGTAAATGTACCAAGTATAGCCTAGCAAGCCGTACACCACGACAGGAAGTATAGATCCTGCTATTTTGGCAGCTAATGGCGAGGGTTTTGACATCTGTATCAAAGAAAGAATGAAATGAAGGAAAAAGAATATCAAAAGGGGGGAAGAAGAAGGATTACCCAGTTTGTATTGCGGAATTGGAATACAATGACGACATGGAGATGGTGGCATTTTGATTGTACAAGACTCTGCTGGACGAATATGCTGTCCTTCCAACAGCATCATCCTGATTTCAGGATGCCAGCCTAACATGAGTGTGCTGTCTTTTGTCGGGCTCATTGACAACATAAATCATGGCGTAGCGTAGATAGACGATTGCAAGAATAACGCTTGCTTGCTAAACGTCCATCGCAATAGCTACGTAGCCTCTTGATTTCTAGTATTGGAATATTGTATTCCATGTACAAATCGATAATGCGCCCTGTACTCCTTTTTTGAAAGAGCAAGTATGATTATGTGCTTTGCAATATGGAGTGGGGTCATCAAGATTAGGGTCAAATGTCATTTTGATATGTATTAAAAGGATGCATTCGCTTGAGTGTCAGGTGATGAACGGTTTTGAGATGCCCTCACAAGCTACTGTACATGATTTGCAGTAGAAATTGGGATCATTTATATCAGGCTCTATGTCGATCTTTTTAGTCATTGTTTTAGGCTTTATAGTGTGTACTGATTTTCGATGCGTCAGTGCTGCTTTGAGATTTGCCATTCTCTGGTTACATACATCGCAGAGGTAGTACATAGTAGTAGCCTTACTCTTTTGAAGTCGTCTGTAGATCAGTAATTCAGATTGTGCTCATTATACAACTTTCAAGTGCCTTACCATGCTGCAGCAACAGACTGCTGCCATTCTTTGTCCTCTTGCTTGACAGTGGTATCAGTAGCTGGGTCATTGAAAATGGGAGAAAGCGTGTTGCTACGCTGAAAGTCAACTTTGCTGTCCTTTTTGCTTGATCATGTTTCGAACACGCTTCTGCCAGTGTCTTAGTTTCATGGTAAGTCGAACGGAAGACAGCAAGAAAGACATGTTGTTTGCACGAGCCAGACGGCTACATCTTGAGCGCCCACTTTGTCAGGATATTGCGTTTACATCTTTTTTTTTTATTGCTTAAAATATAGTATATGTAGAGTATTATAAAATTAGCCTGAGGGTTTTTGTTGTGTAGTATCGTACATGCGAATGATCTTGGTTTGATCTGAATCATTCTGTGAAAAGGCGTAGCCTCGGGATTGCTTCAACCGTTGAATTTTTCTGACCTTGTTAACAGCCTGCCTAAAGCGATCCATGCGAGGACGGTAGTCAGGCAAATTCATCTTTTGTATCTCTTGAATGTAATGATAGCTTTTGGTTCTATACATGCGTTTATAACTAGGTACATGTGTAAGTACCTTGAAAAGTATGGGCGAGTGTCAATGACTTACTATTTCCATAAGAAATCTCTCAAATTGCATGCTAATGGCACCAAGATAAAGAACAGCCAGTAATTTACATTGCCAAACAAGCGAGGCACTATGCCAATGTACTCCATAAAGATGCCCCAAGGTAAGAGTGGTCCAACGTACGATACCAAAGGCATGAATATGAACCAAATCACCATGGATCCCGGTATAGCTATCACTGTATATTTTGTCCATATACTAAAAGGAAAGAGTTGTTATTACAAAAAGCCGCTTCACATGATATAAAGTGCCACTAACTCTGTAATCAACGCAGCCTTCCATAGGATCGTTGCTAATGTTGCAGTAAAGATGGTGGTGCCCACCCACCACTGCCCGCCAGACCAACCAAGTCCCCCAAACACTTCGTCTCGTCTGAAAGCGGCCATGCCTAAAAAGAACAGCAGAGCAGAGTGATATACGGCATTCATGATCCATCCCCAGAACCGCTTCTGGTTAAAGAATTCGTTCTTTTGTCCCAAAATGTAAATTTGAGGGTACTTGTCCAACAGCCGAGCTGAGGCAAATTGATCATAGATTCCAATAGCCATGGGAGGTAAGATGGTGAAAAAGACATTGAAGCAGGACATGGTCCATGATTCATACAGTGTCTGGCCCGAGAAGCCATTGAAGATAGCATACTATGTAGTCCAAAGCGTTAGTACAGAGAAGCATGTCCAGAACAGCTATTGCTTACCCAAAATTGCGTTAGATACAAGGCAACATTCTTGTAGAAATAGTAGAATATCATTTTGCTCAGTCTTTGATATGCCCACGAGCCATGCACCAGCAACAGCTTTTTGAGAAATCTGAATTGAGAGATTGCAAAATCTGCACTGCGGGCCGCTTGCAGTCCTTCCACACCGCTGATACCAACGCCCACATGAGCAGCTTGGATCATGGACACATCATTGGCGCCATCACCGATAGCCAACAAGATGGAGTTGGAGTACTTTTTGACCAGTTTCACCACAAGCGCTTTCTGCAACGGAGACACACGACAACAAATAACTGCTTTACATCGCGTGGCTACATCGTAAAACAGACGTTCCATGTCTTTTTCCAGTGCAAAAGTCAGTGCTTTGCCTTCAATGACCAGTGCGTGCACCTGTTCAAATGAAATGAGTACACGTAGTAAAAGCAGACTGAAGGACTTACTTCGGCCATATCAGAGTTCTTGGTGGTATCATGCTCCAGTTCATTCAATTTTTGTGCCAAGAAGCCTTCTGTCGATGCATAATTGTCCTTGTTGCAAATCAAGAGATCCATTTCCTCTGTTAGTAGTTTGCAACTGTATCCAATGTTGATGGCTGTTTCTTGCCGATCGCCCGTCAAGACCCACACTTTGATATTGGCTTGTTGAAGCGTATGAATCGTATCAGGAACCCCGTCTTGGAGCTTGTCTTCGATGGCTGTGGCGCCTAATAAGGTCATGTCCTTTTCAATCATCTCGGCTGCTTTGTCCAGTGCTTCGGCTCGATTGGTCAGTGTCGTTGCTGCAGCATCGTAAATAGTCGACCAGTTTTCGTATTCCTGCTGTGAAATCTCTCGCATGGCATAGCAGAGTGTACGAAGGCCCTCAGAAGCAAATTCTTCCAAATGATGCAGTGTTTGCTCTTCAAATGGGTCATTGGGTGTCAGTCTCTCCAGTATCACGGAATCAGCGCCTTTGCAATACAGCTTGATCCTACCATCGGGACCCTTCAACACAAGCGACATTCTCTTTCGTGTCGAGTTGAATTCGCAGACATTCAAGATAGTAAACTCAACCTCTTGATCCTGAACCTTGCAGTAAATCGAATGGGGTCGTCTTGCATAGAAGTGATATTTGAATATCTCACTTGCACCTTGCACCAGAGCACCCTCATCAGGAGACGATGCTTGATAGACAATTTCATTGGAATCCTTGACGACTTCGGGAATCACAGTGTGGCAAGTCATCAAGGAGGTCATGAATTCATGTATAATGTGTGCATGCTGCGAGTTTTGTAAATGCTCCTCCAGCTGCGTGAACGAGTACTGCCCATTTGAATCGTTATTTGATGTAGGTCGTCTCTCTGGATCAGCTGTGGTAGCGTAAGATAGACCCGCAATAGAACATTCTCTGAATTCCATCTCGTTGCATGTCAAGGTACCGGTTTTGTCTGAAAACACGTATTCCACTTGTCCCAACTCTTCAATCAAGCTGCTGCTTCTTGCCACTGCGGGTGTATCGGTTTTTGCATAGTAGATGTCGAGATCATTGTCAATCATGATGGACTGCACAAACTTGACAATCTCCATGGTGACCATCAAACTGATGGGAATAAAACTGTTGAAGAGAATCATAAATGTCAGGATGCAGAAACCAAATTCTCTTGCACGCTCTGTTGCTGGTATCTGCAGGTAGCTCCATTGATCTCCTGCTCTGGTGGACGTAACAAGATTTCCAACGGAACACAGGATGCTCATAATCACGAGCATGGTAAACAGGTATAATATATTGCGGTTGGTGATACGAGTGACGTTGGATGCCTTTGTTGGTTTTTTGCTGGTGAGCAGTATGAAGGTGAGCTCTCCATACCAGAGTCGCCACTGTTATACATACCTTGAATTCAGCATCAACTTGGTTTCGTGGCCTGTAAACACAACAAAGCCATAGATCCAGCTCGTGTTTCTTAGCTGGGCCCCTCTCAGGAGCAGCTTTGATGGATCCAGCGGAAAATCCTTTGTTTTACCATCGATCGTGAGTCCCAATGTTCCGTCGTAATTGTACAGCCGATTGTTAGGCTGCTCACACTTCAAGACGCCAGACAGGCGGCTCACATCAGAGGGAGACAGATAGGAGGCTGTTTCAGGTAGGGCTTGCTTGATTTTTAGGTTCACTTCACTGTACAACAAACCATGTTAGTCTAGTCCAACAACAGTGTTAGGTCATTTACCCATCTAAATTACTGGTTTCAATGTAGCACAGACCCTCTGGCTCGGATGAGCTCAATAGAATTAGATCTGCTGGAAAAAACTCTTTGCTCTCAATACGACAGATATCGCCCACTTTCACATCTCTCCATTTCTTAGAGACAAATTGGCTGCCATCGTAAATCTTGCACTGACGAGCGTTCAGCTGATGATCCGACTTGTGTACGCCCTGTTGTATCATAATCCGTAAGTACATGCTCACCATGACAAGCTGCCTGTTTGTTTTGCGTTGATTTTTTTTACCCTACATAGTCTTCAATGATTTCTTTGATCGCAGTGATCAAAAGCACAATAATCAGCGGTATCAGCGTGGTATAGCGAGATGTGGGTGAAATGTTTGGTATTTGCTGTGTTTGTCTAATGTGAGTATGTGCAACAGCATGCATACAACACACGAAAATCAAATACCTGAATACCGGATATAAACAAAAAGAAGAGGTTTGCTGATTTGCTGAATTCAACGTACAAAAACTTGGGGAGAAATGTAATGGGATTGTACTTGGCTGTGGAAACGCCGTTTTGCATGAATCTCTGGTTCAGTTGAGGTTGGTTGATGTGGATAATGCGAGGCTCATTTTCGTTTTGCTTGTTTCGTCGTTGTGCTAGATGCAGCCACGAGAACAGGCTGCTCTTGTGTCCTGCTTTCTTGCCTTGAGTTGCTGTCTGGTCTGTCTTTTCGTCTTTATCGTTGCGATCCAACATTTCGGTTGATTTGAATGGCTCATGGCTATTGTTGGTAGACAGTGAATAGTCTGAAAATATATAAGGTGCCTGAGGTGGCATGGGATGCTCGCCCAGCAGACGGAAATCTTCATCTGGTTCTGCCTCCTGTTCCTCTACACAATAGCAAATGAGTTTGTCTGCTTGCAGTCAATCCAGTGTGTGTGTGTGTGTGTGCATTTTACCTCGTCTCATGCTACAAGTGTCCAGTGATTATTTAATAGAGGATTTCGAAAATGGGAAATACAGAAGCTTTAAATAAAATGAGATAAAAGTCAGTGTAGAAAAAAAAAGGAGGGGAGAGAGAGAGAGAGAGAGAGAGAAAGAGTAAATGGATAAAAAGGGGGAGTATTTCACTTGATGTACAATCTGTAGTGTGAGGGAGAAGGACAAAAGAGAGGGGACACAAGGGGAGGCTTGGGTGTCGATGGTGTTGGATCGAATAGAAATGTGGGTCGATATCATTCAGATACACAATATGCTCTAGTCGTGCTAAAAATAGTCTATATACTCACAGTAGCTATTGTATCAATTCCATTGACATACCAGTAGAACGACAAGCAATGTGGTACTGGTACTTGGGTATTCTATTTGGCATGTGGTACCACCAAGGCCATCAAGCAATCAGGAAGCTCAGAATCGCTTGGAAGTGTTGCATGTATCTGTCTAGTTTGATCTCGATCTGGCTGGCAGAATTCATCTAGCTATTTGTGATCAGTGCCGGAACATCGGACATCAATTCACAAAGACGTGCGCACAACACATGCACGGGTCAAAAACATCGACGTGGAGCCAGATATACACGATCCCAGAGGCTACTGCAAATCATGCGAAAGAAGCTATGCCGGTAGAGGCCATGCGGGTAAATTTGCATACATGCGACATTTGAAAGGTGTGCACCATATGGTCTTGCCATCAACACCTCCACGCAAAGCACCACAAACTGTAACTGCTCCTGCTCCTGTTGATCCAACTCTGCTGGCTGAAGACATCGCCAGCATCGGAAGCCACAGATCTCCTTACTGCAGAGCGTGTAAAAAGGGTTTCGCAAGGAATTACTCTTACACCAGACATCTATTTAATGTTCACAAAGTGAATTATAGACTAAAGCATCAAAAGCCAAAAGACCTCATACCAGATATCGATGATTCCAACCCTTACAGCCGAGCTTGTGATAGAACATTGCCATCCAAAAAGACCTACCGCTTTCATTTGGGGGGTGATGCACTCTATTTTCAAAAAAGCGCCACGCAAGAAGAGCAATATCCAGCCAGAAATTGATGACCCCATCAACCATTGTCGCGCCGGCCAGAAAACATATGTTTCCAAAAGCAGCTATCGAGGGCGTTTTCGTATAGTACACCGAAAATGAGTATCACTTGGGTAATAAACGTGGGATGTTTATCTCAGCGTGCAAGCAGCTTTCACAGGCGCTTCTTTTACTGAATGACAAAGTGGTATATTGTTGCTTTCAAGAGACTATCTAAACTATCAAAATTGCTTACTCTTTCCGCTTGCAAATTGAAGCTTGGAAAAAGATATCTGCGTGAATCCAATATGATCAAAAGAAAGGGATCAGTGGAAGGTGATCATAAATCAAGAGTGCTCCAATTTGATAGTAGAAATTATAGTCAAATTCAAAGTGCTCTTAGCCAGGCTAAGTTACAGCACTTTTCAAGTTACCATTCTCCTTGTAATAGCCTCACAAACATCGACTGCTTTCATGATTAGAGAGCATTGTTCTTGCCCGCCAGCCGCCGCTAACATTGGTTAAATTGCCGACTGACCTTTGCTCCAGATTGGATAAAAGATAAATAATTTCGACTTGATTCATCTGTTTTCCCCAATTCGACTATGTGATTTGTGATAATCACCCTATACTTCCTAATGGGTTCTTACAGTACTTTTCAAGGCGCATCTAATGGTGCTTATTACAATGGTTGTTTTGAACAAGCTTACTGAGCTATTTATAAATATATGAAATAAGGACTATGGTAAAAATGTCGAGATTTTACATATGAACACCTCAAAAAAATGATTTTTGGGTTGTCTCGAGTCGAGAGAAACATTTTGATATAATACATGTCATAGTAAAATTCTCCGTTTTTTGGGCCAAAAACGCGATCGTTTAGTTTTCGATGAAAACCATGAGATACCCCTCATGGTTTTGAGTCGATTTTTGATGATGTGTTTTTCAGGTCCCAAAAAAGTGGAGCAAATGTGTCAAACCGTAAGTGCTGGATGAAAGCAATTGTCTGGTGCTACTCTGGCAGCGCAAAACGGCTTCTAACGCGAGAAACCGCTTAAATGCACCCAAAATTTGCTATGATTTGCATAGATGTGAGTAATAAGAGGCAATGCAAATATACTGTCTGCCCCTAAATGGATTGTTCCCGCATATACAGGCCAGCGGTATCGTAGAGGTATCGGATCCACACCTACAGGTCGTTTATGAATGGTTTTCACATAACAATGGAAAGCTAAAATGTAACATTTTAGCATACATCAATAGGATGAAAACAAAACTCCAAACTGATCACTACCCGAGGACTCTCCATCTAAAGCGTGTATCTGGAGCCCGCAAAAGTTCCTGCTTACTCTGACAAACGTAACCGCTTGATAAGATCCTTTGATTGTCTGCTGTTATTTAAAATTTGATATTCCTCTCAAAGACTTAGAGCACATTGAATCGTATCAGTGTTAGTATCAGGCAGACAAGCCTCTATACGCTTCTTGATTATGATATTCATGCACATTTGTGCAACAATAAGATGACATGATATTCCATCAAATGGAAAAACATACTCTCTAATTGGGTTAGTTTCCCCGCTGATTGCAGACCTCAGGATTATTAATGATGTATTTTGGGAGCCCAGAGCCCAGAGAAAAGGCCAAGCGATCCCCATCAAAGCACACACCATAAAAAGGAAATATTTCATTTTTTTTCCCTTTTTCTCTTTTTTCTTTTTCTTTTCATCTTATCAACACCAAACATCATGTCTGAACCCCAAAGCAAATCTGTCCACGAGCTGATGAAGCCTGCCACTCCTACTACAGCTGAGCAAGTCAATCAAGAAGAGCAGGTGCCCATCACTTTACCTTCCTCTGATAACAACGATAACCAGACAGAGCAAACCACCACCACCACTACCACCACCAACGACACTACGACTGAATTAAGTGGCGATATCAAGACATTAAAAGACGCATTCCCAGATTTGGATATCGATGTCATTGAGACCATCTTGGCAAGCCAAGGCGGCAACTTGGATGCCGCGTTTGAAGTATTACTTGGCATGTCGGATCCTTCTTACAAGCCTGAACCTGGACAATCAGAGGGTATGGATCAGTTGAGACGAGACGAGGAGTATGCAAGACGTTTAGCACGAGAAGGTGATGCGCATTACCCTCAGAACAATACGCAACAACAACAAGCAGAGCAACCGTTGTTTAATTTCCAAGGTAAGTTTTCTAAAGCGAGAGAGGCGGGTTGAGGAAGATAAGGAAATTTTTCTCAAATGTCACGTATATTAGAGGAATTGCCTATTATCAAGGAAAAGGTGATTGAAGCTGGTACAGGTGAGTACACAAAATGCCATGCCTGAAGCTTGACCTGATTGACTAACGAGTATCCCACCTTTAAGCTGCCAAGAACAAGATTATGAGTCTATACAACCAATTCATGGCTCCTGACCAAGCTCAACAACAGCAAGGACAATCGTCGCAAGGAGGTATCTTAGAATCTGGTATAGGTAATTTAAGTCTGTCAGATAACCAAGCATCACCACAACAACAACAACAACAACAACGATATACAGCACCTTTGCCACAACAGCAAGCCAGGCCCTCTCCACCTACAGCCACATCTGGTTCAGTGGATCTATACGAATGGGACGGTAACAAGGCTCCACAATCTCCTGTGCGCAATCCCTTATTATCGCAAAGAAAAGAGTCTGCTACGTCTACACCTGCAGAACAAATGCTCTCTGACGAAGAGTTTGCTAGACAATTGGCCAGAGAGGATGCTGAAGCTTCGTCTCATGTTGCTACATCAAGTAAGTTTTTGGGAAATGTGTGTGAATGGAACGATCACGTTGATGAGTCCAAATCGTATTAGATGCTATTACTACTACTACTCCTCCTCCTCCTCCTGCAACCACAACAGCCAATGCCAATACCACGGCTGCTACTGCTGCTAATGTGCCTCCCACGACTACCACATCAACTCAAAATGCGAAATCAAGCGCTAGCTCTGATAACGAAGAAGGTATGTAATAGCAAGTCGATTTATGCATACGTAATACCAGAGTATTTAGCCTTTTTTATTTTTTATTTTTTAAATGCTAGTTACCTTTTCAGCGTTAGGCAATGAATCTGAAAAAGCAACTAAGCCTGGTTACACTCACACAGCAAATGACGATGATGATTTGGATGATCTTTTTGATAAGCAAGGTAAAGAAATGGAGAGCGTTTACTTGCAAGAATATGCTCTCATCTTGTCGTTTTCTAGATTCCAGCTTGGATCTCTCTGTAGAACCCATTGATTCTGTTGATAAGGAAACTGCAAAGACCAGCAGTCAAAAGTAAATAAAAGTGTCATTTCTGACTATTCAACTACGCCTTGCATAAATGCAGTTAGCCGCATGCGCGCGCCATCATCCCTGTTACTATTTAAGCTTTTTCTTAATTTTACATGCAGCTGGCTGTTTGAGACGAAAGGGCCGCTTGCTTCCTTTTTGCCACTTTCAATAACCATCATGTCTTTGAAGAGTAACGCGTGTGTCAAGATGTACTGGCACCAGATGAATACTAACGTAGTTCGATAGAATATACCGTAAGCGACTTGCTCAAAGTGAGATACGCTACCGACTCATCTCAAGATACCTTTTTTCAATGGGAAGGTTCCATTTTGTAGGTCGTCCAATATGAGATGAGAATTGCTGTAGTATTCATGCCAATTGCTCTAGCGCGTTTATTCCAGGCCAAGCACCTAAAAAGATATTCAAATGTATCGGTATGAACGTCTCCAAGGCCAAGATTGAGGACAACAAACTCAAAGTCAGTGGAAAAGAACTCACTTACTATCTTGACCCCACGACTGGTGCAAAATTGGATCGTTGGGACAATCCATGGACTGAAGAAAAGAATCTGCCAGGTACATACAGGCCATCATGCTTTGCTACACACTCTCTCATTACCTCATGCAGTTGTCCATATCGCCAATGACCCTGTGCAGATGGCTCTCCCCACGTTTATTCCTATGGATGTTCGCCACAACAAATTCAGCGGATCGGCAGCGATTGTCACCGAGATTCCTTTATTTTATCCCAACCCTCTCGCTGTAGAAGATCACAAGTTTGATGCCTTTGATAGCAACAAAATGTACCAAGCAGGCGAGTTCTTTACATTCAAGTGTGATGCCCAACAGCTGGATCAAGCAGACACCATCGACCAAGTAGAAGTCAACTGGACTCGTGTATCCAAGTTTGCACCCTTCATGAAGATGGGAGGCAAAGAAGGCTATTTGGTCTATCATTGTACTGGCTACAAGCTGCCTCAACATGCTACTGCGGATGATCTTGATGCCATGTTGGCCAAGGAAATCAAAGACACTGTACCTGAATACGCAGCTGCAGATGAGTATAATCCTGAAGCTCAAAACGTATCTAGTTGGTCCTACTTTAAGCAGCATTTTGATCGCTATCAGAATGAACCTGAGGCCACTTGGCCTATTCCTTCAAGAGAATAAAAAGTGTTTTATTAATTGAGAATGCAATAGTTGGATGAAATGTGTATGTGTATGTGTATATGTGTGTGTGTGTGTGTGTTTACATGTGAATAAATAGCAAATCAAGTGTTTCTTTTTTTTTTTTTTCTACTTGAGATGTGAAATGAACTGGAATACATAGGAAACAATTCCCTTTTGTGCCTCTGATACCAAGATGGGGTCTGGAAGTTTGATCAGCTCTTTATCATAATGGTTCCACCTATATCAAACAAAAAATTAGCGCTCAAATCAATGCACTCGTTCAAACAAGACTTACGTGCTAGAATCACCATAATTCATGCTCTCGGCAGGCGTATGCTGCTTACCAAGAATACAGCGCTTGCACTTGAAGGTATCATGTGTCTCGCTCTCGCTCTTGGTGTGCAGTGTAAACAATCGACGCATGTCAGCCACTGAGAAATGTCGCTCCATATCTGTCGCTTCATCCACAACACAGTTTGATAGTGATTGCTTGTGAGATTGACGCTGAAAGATCTTTTCCTCAATCGTGCCTGAAGCAATGAATCGATAGATGAAGCAATCCTTCTTTTGGCCATCTCTCCACACACGAGCCAACGCTTGCTGATCAGCAGCAGGGTTCCAATCGGGGTCAAACAGCACCAGGCGATTGGCACCAATCAAGTTCAAACCACATCCACCTGCTTTACTACTCAATAAAAATACAAACTCTTCGCCCTCAGGATCGTTGAACTGATCTACCAGCTTTTGTCGCTTGTTGATGGTCATGGTGCCGTCCAGACGAAGCACGCCGTACTGATTTTGCTGGCAGAAGGTTTCAAACAGGTCCAATGTTTGCGTGTAGTTGCTGATGAGCACAATCTTGTCTTTGGTATCCTTCTTGATTCTTGCAAGCATGCGAGCCAACACGGTGAATTTACCAGACAATGAAGCATCTACCTTGCCTTGAGTAACGTAGTTGGCGGGCAACACAGACTGACAGCCTTGCAAGTCTTCGGGCAGGTTCAGGAGGTTAGGATGATTACAGAGCTTTTTCAAGAGTGTGATGTTCTACAGAGAATATGGGATGAGTGGGCGCCAGAAGATGATTCAATAGCACTACTCACCTTCAATGCTTGACATCCTCCGTCACGCATCAGTGATTTCATTTCAGGTGATTCCAGGAATACATTGTACAGCGATTCTTGCAAGGGCGCTAATTTACAGAACACAACATGCTCATACTTGACGGGCACTGGATTTGCAGGCTGTGTTAGTCAATGGACAAAAAAAAAGCACTCAATCAGACAACTTACAGTATTTCGTCAAAATGTCGTTGGTTCTTCGAATGGTGAATTTGGAGACAATATTCCAGAATTCAGCCACCTTTTCATCACTAACGGCTCTCTCCTTTTCAGTAGCATCGGCATCACGACCTCTCAAGATGGGATTTTCATAGTTTCTTCTGAATTCATTGGGTGTACCGAGAAGGCCAGGATTGGCAAAATCAAGCAATGCGTAGTATTCACTCAGATCATTCTGAATGGGTGTGCCAGAGAGGATAACTCGTCGAGTGACATTCAGACTATTCAACTCTTGGAACAATTTGGACTCTCGGTTCTTCAAACGATGGCCTTCATCACACAACAAGACGCCAATCGACGTTTTTTTCAAGTACTTGGTATAGGCTCGCAAACTCTCGTAAGAAATGATGAGGATTGAGTTCTTGCCTTGGTTGGCTCCCCATCGCTTGACGGCTGTGATCTTTTCCTTGCTGTTGCCCACGTCCACAGTCAGAGGCTGAACTCGAGTTGCACCCAGCCATTTTACTGCAATATGTCTCATTAATCACTCCACCATGCAATGATATACATCTAATCCTTACCAAATTCATTTGCCCAATTCTTGACCAAACTCGAAGGGCATGTAATGATGGCTTTGTGAATAGTCGACTTGCCGGCCTCTTCAGACTGCTGGAGAAGTGTCCACACCAAAGCAATGCACTGTAATGTTTTTCCAAGACCCATTTCGTCTGCCATGATGCAGCCATACGCTTCAGGATACACTTTGCCCGTAGTACATTGATACAAAAACTTGACGCCTTCTATCTGATGTGGTCTCAAGACTCTTGTCAATGCTGGATCAACGACGACATGCACCAGCTTTCTCTTTTCCTGCTTCAAACCCAAGATTTCTGCTAACGATTTGCCCTTCTTTGGTTTATCCGTAGTAATCTTGATCTCTTCTTGCACAGGTTGATTATCAGGATCCCAGAGCACAATGGCACCTTCAGCTGTGTGATCGTAGAGTGCTCTCAACATGTGCCCCGTTCTGCGTCGAATTCCCAATGTCTTTTTCTCTCCAAACTCGCTGCTGGTAGGTGGCATAAAAGTAGGCAATGCGGATACCTTTTTTCCACTAACTTTCAATGGCTTGCCGTCTTTGGTTGTTGTCGCCGCAGCGCTTCCGTTGGGAGCCACCATGGTAGGCACCTTGAACTTTTTGCTCAGAATGGATCGAGCATCATGGTTCTTTTTGATACGGCTGTTTGGTAATGGAGAGAATTTTGTAACAATATATGATTTGACTGTGTTGCTGGAGATGCTTTTCAAAGCTATCCTTGATTTCTTGACTACATGCTTGCGATCCTCCTCTTCAGCATCGTCGCTTTCGCTATCACTGTAATCTGATTCCTCACTACTGACAGATGCCATTGTGCGTTTTCTATCGTTTGCTCTAGCTGCTGGCTTTTTGACAGGGTGGAATTCGTCATGGTCTTCCTCTGGATCACTTTCATCACTGCTTTCTCGAACCTTGTGTGGTTGCTTTGCAATCACAGGCTTCATTGTCTTGGCAGGCGAGCGCTTGTCTTGCTCATATTGGCTTCCTTCATTACTGCTGTGACCCTTTGAAGGCTGCCTTCTAATCATGGGCTGAAATTCTTCGTCCTCCTCGCTTTCATTGCTGCTCTCTTGGACTATGGATTGCTTTTGTTGGACTTGCTTTCTAACAATTGGTCGATAGATATCCTCTTCATCACTACTGCTGTCTATGTGAAATGGGATGGATACAATTGGTTTCTTTGGACGATTAGATGACCTCAATGGTGCTTGTGGTTTAGAAATCATATTGCAAGTGGAAGAAACAAAGAATCTAAATGCGCAGTACCTGTAAATGTCTATTTAATTTAAGAGCGCATTTTCGTGCGCGCGTTTTCTCAAATCTAAACAATAGTCATGAAAATACCCCTTTATCACCAAACATTTCAAATCACATCCAATCGACTTTGCGATTCATGAATATTCTACATTTAGCCGGCAGAGCATTAAATATGCTGACTCGGTTTATTCGGTAGCGATTTCACTGATAACATTGCAATAGTATTGGTTTGCAGTGATGATCATCTTGTGTGGTTTATATAACCAATTTATCTTGGCCATCGTTCTCTTCAACACCGTATGAAACACTCTCTTAAGTTAAAAACTAAATGGTGCTCTTCATGTTGGTGCTGTTTGTTAAAATAAAGGTGAGGTCTTTTGTTGGAATGTCTTTGATGGATTCCAGAATTCGCCCGACATTGTTCTTGCTGTACACTGGGCAGCAGGCCAAATGTATGGTAATATCAACGTTGTATATTATGATCAACGTCTTTTGCATGATGGTATTTGTATCATAAAACGACTCCAGTGTTACATGTTTCAACCAAAGTTATAGTAGCACTTTTGTCATCATCGATCATTGCCAAAAGTAGATGCGCCAGCAGAGGTTTATCGCTTTGCATGCCATGATTTCAAACCAAAACACAAAGGGGTTCCCTGAATGGTGGTTGGTTTGTCAGAGGTAAAATTATAGCATTTAGTGCGGACAGATAAATCATCATACCTTTGATATCCAAGATAACGACAATGAAGCATACTTCATGCTGGTACATCGTACATCAATATTTCTTATCCATTGACTACTATTACCACTACAGTATGAGAAAAGAAATATGAAGCTGGCATCTTTACATGCATGCTTTTGTGTTTATTATATTTTACCTCTTTTGTAATGTAATGTATATAATGAATGCATGCCTTTATCTTTCCATCACTAAAGCCCAATACTAATCATTCTTTTCTATCCATAGTAATTTTTGAACAAAATCAGAATGCGCATCAAATGATACTACTCTTGATAGTCTATTTGCAATCTGTCTCTAATTCGACCCGTTTTATATATAATATTATACAGTATACGTATCTTCTTAAGGCTTTCAAAGTAGAGTTTATAATGAATCTGCACCTCTTCACCGACAATATTGTTCAATTGATGTATAGGATCAAAAAGCACCTATCGTTCTTGTTACTGGTAGCTGTATAGCATCGGTTTTCATGGATCTGAAGCGGCCAATTGGTCAGGCTCTGCCAAATTGGCGAAAAACGATCGCACAAGGCTAACTATTCCTACAGTGGCGTATATAAAATCCTTTTGTGCAATACTATCAGCCATAACACTCCAGAAACTTGCTTATATACTTGAGCACCACATAGATGCGTTTATGGTGTGGTTGAAAAAACGCATTTTTATCATTGTAAACTACCATTTTTGGGAGATTGAAAAATCAGTTTTTGAAAGGAAGCATTGTAGACGACCAAATGAGATTTGATTTTGTAAAATAGACACAGAGGAACAAAAGTTTATTAATAAAGAAGCCAGGTTGAGTTGGGAGTTGAACAGGAGATAGTGTTCAAATACTGTTCGTTTTTATATTGGTTTCGTTACACTTTCCTCGCTTAATCATTTGACAATCACTGTAGCGACTGAAAGTCGGCTCATATGTTTAACATCCCCTCAAAATGGGCGTATAATGGTGGCCCTAAAATAAAGACTTCAGCACCATCACAGGGCTTGTAATAGCTGTTCTAATTTTTGTAAAATGCGCAGCACAGCTTTCAATCTTTGCCACACTACAGCGAAGCAAGGTGTCGTCCACCGGTTTTTAATGCAACATTTTCCGATGTCCGATCCATCAATCTAATACGCATAATTACTCTCAATTAACAGGTTCTTACATAACGCTCAGTACTCAAAGTTGGCTAGAATGCGTGGCACAGCTTTAAATCTTTGCCACAACATCACCACGAAGAAGCAAGCTGTTGCCGAATGATTTATACGGTTTTGAATACAACGCCTTACAACACCTCATCCATCAATCTACTACTGCCATTTGTAATGACTCGAAATTTACAGGTTCGCATCTGATGCTCATTACTCAATGGGAAGATCAAATTTATTGTAGCTACTGAGGCATCTGAGCACACACAGCTGATTATACCTGTAGACATAGATGCGATGTGATACAACCAGCATCAATTATAGTGCTACATTGTAAAAATGGCTTAAGGGGAAAGCGAATGTAGTCTACGATGCATGCTTGTGTGCAACAATGCAAATGATTACCATAATATTCACATAATAAAATAAGTTCCGGTAGTAAGCTATTCTTCGTACGTCAGAAGTAGCAAATAAGGGACATCATAAGTAATTCGTGTTGCCAAGAGCAACTAAAAATATTCAAGTTGATCCTCTGCATCCAAAATAGTTATCATTTCGCATAAATGAGGACTGACACTAAAATTTAGCATGAGAATACCGTATAGTAGTAGGATGGGTGTACAAGCAATCGATCTCTAGATTATACATAAAATAGCAGAAAACATTCACACTTCAATGATCCTTCCTCATCTGATTCGTAACTGTACGAAACGTACATACATTCTAACGTATGTTATCAGACGTGTTCTAACATTGTACGCCTTTACAGCAATTTATAGGTCAGATTCTGTCCAAATCTACTATTTTCAAGCACGAATAACTCATGCCACAGAGTGTTTTGGGCGCTTGGAATAGCGCCAAACGGTTCTTCTTGGCTACGCTTTACTGAATGATGCTTTATCTCAAATTTTTTTGGATCATCGCAAGTCCATCAAAATCCTCATTTTTTCATGAGTATTAGCAAGGGAAAATTTACGAAAATCAAACGATCGCGTTTTTCACCCCAAAAATGAAGACTTTTCCTATGGTACATATCAGATCAAACTGATCGTAAAGATGAGACGCAACAGTAGAGACTCTTTTTTTATAAGACTTGCATATGCTAAATTTTGACATATTCATAGAGAACCGGTTTTCGAATTTTCTCAAGCTGCTCATTATTTTCGGTCTGAAAGCTGAATGTAGCCAGCATCATTCGATGCGCCTTCATTGACTCTTTATAAATCCATTAGAAAGTAATATATAACAAGGACAATTTTCATAGTCAAATTTAGGAAAAACGTCTAAAGGATGTGAGATCAAGTCAAATTTGAACACGAAAACACCCACTGCACAATGTCAAATTAAAGTGCAGCAGTTGTGGCTGCCACGGCAGAAGACTGAGGCCAAATCTACTGAACGTGACGTCGATTAGGGCGCCCTCTCATTTTTCCACGCCTCCGTTTTTTACCCATTTTGCAAAACGCGTTTTAGTATCAAACCATGGTGGTTTTGGACACCGTTTGATTGATAATAACACTCTAGCTTCTGATAACACGGTTTTGTACTGTTAAAAGTGCTTGATACTGCACCTTTGAAGTGGAATATAGTAGGTACGATTCGATAACGAGCATTGGAAGACGAAGAAACAGCACTAATTGAGTTTGCTTATTATTAGGTTTCAATTTTTTTTTTGCCTGTTCGACGTGGGTGTTGCTGCCATTACTTCTCTGTCATCTCTGTTGTCTGCTTCTTTGGTTTATTATGCACGGTAACTGCCTCTTTGGTCTCTATCCTTGGCGACTGCTTTGTTAATCTTTGTCCGGTCTCTGGTGTCGCTCGTTCTTCGGTTTCTCTATGATGCTGTTGTTGCTGTTGTTGTTGCTGCTGCTGCTGTTGCTTCTGATGCTGCTTCTGGTATTACTTCTGGTGTTGCTGCTGCTAGTTTGGTCTTTTCTGGTCTACTATCTTTGGTGTATGCTCGTTCTCTGTTGTATCTCCGGTAATTGTGTATTCTCAGGTCTATTGGTAGCTGTGGTAAGTGGTAAGTATTTTTTTTCTTCTGGTCGCAATGACATAAATCTTCTCTGGACGTTTGTATCATTGCTTCCTTTCTCGTGATAATGCATTCATAATGTTTGCTTTGTTGCGTTTTCTTTCTCTTTCTTTCTCTTTCTTTCTCTTTCTTTTGTTGGCTGTGATATGATCGGCTCAACAGATGCTTGCAATGTTGTTGCTTTGTATGTACGAACAACAAGCATGATGTACTGCTATATATCTGTATTGCTGTTATAATACTACTTTGTTATATGGCCGTGGATTGTTGTTTGTGTTGCCTCTGTCGCTTCACATGAAACAACATTAGTCATTATGTTGTATTGCACACTTATAGTACTGTTATTGCTCCTGCAATTGTGCCTGTTTGTGTTGCTTTACATCCGACTATTACCATGCACGTTGCTAATGTATGCATTTTTGTTGTTGCAACAACAGCGAGCTATTCTGAACATCTTTGATGTTGTATTATTTGTTGTTATGCTTTTCTTTTGACTCACTTTTTTGTGTGAGTGTTCCTTTTTTTTTTTACCTACATACTACTATACTCCTAGAGTACTGTAGCATGTTCTTTCCTTCTTTCTTTTCTTCTTATTATGTTTCTTTGAAGCATACCTTTTTTTACGTTGTGGTGGATGTGCCTATCGCTGAAGCTCAACAAGACTCTATCCGAGGCTAGGAGGTAGATAGGCTGTCTCCACTTGGTTGTCGCTACTTACTTTAGTGATGATTGAGGGTCTCAATGCCTGAACTTAAAGCTAGGTGGTGTAAGTAAGGCATGCTCTAGCACCTGAGGGAAATTTGATGATAGCAGCGGCTATATTGCTATTATAGCGGCGCTTAAAATTTTGCCTCACATCAAAACAGGGGGAAACCCTCGCAAATTTTTTTTTTAGGTTAGCGGAGTTTTTAAGCGATTTGATTGGCTAGGGGGTTTAAAGAGAAAAGGTCTTCAACTAATTGATTTTTTTTTGATCTGTCATTTAATATAATTTTGTGTTTGTAATAAAAGAGTGATCAAACAATGAATACAATTTAAGTTTTTCTTTATTCAAAA